TCATGAATGGTTGCCGATTTTATGTAACGAATTATAGCATTCTTGCCTATGAAGGGTCGATCACTATCCATCAAGATAAGTGTGATAGTTTTAATATCATATCTAAAAATTATTTCAAATTAATAATATATATACAGATATATTATATCATTCTAGAATTAAATATTTAATATGTAAACTATTTATGATTATAATTATTTAACACATACCCTTGCACACAATGAGCCGCAGTGAGTATGTGTTTTCGCGTAATAACACTACCAGCACAAAAAAGGTTGCCTTTTATATTTAGGCTAACTATCCATGGATAATCTAAAATGTTTGTTATATTGCCATTAATAATCCTTGTTGTTCCTTGTTGTTGTCTTCCAATTCCGCAAACTGCAATAATGCATTAATATACATGCATGTTATTTGAATCAATAGTCAATTTGATTGCGCAGATAAATTAATATATATTTTTTAATGATTAATAATTATAACTTATTAATAATTAATAATTAATAATTAATAATTTATAATTAATAATTGTAAACTAACACACACAGATACGCATAAAAAATAATCAATTATTATTCAATTTTTATTATTATATTAGGTCTTTCTTGATGTTAGAGTTCTATTATATATAGCAAACTAACAAAATTACAAAATTTAATAGAATTTTGTGTTATTTTAATGCAATTTCATTTTGAATTGTAATATGCTATATAAAATTATGTAAAAAGAAAATCTTGAAGTGTAGAAAATGTCATAAATTTATTTTATTTTACTTTACGACAATTTTGAAACATTTTATATTAATTTTAGAACATTAACATTTCTTATTTGTATATTATTTCTTACCTACAATTAGTTTAATTAATCCAATTAATTGTAAGAAAAAATACATTTATTATATTTATATATTTTAATGAAAAAGATTGTTATATATTTTCTTATCAATTATATAAAACACATATAAATATTTATTTATGTTATCATTGATATAAAGGAATCTAGTAATAATTAGTACTAAGAATGTAAAAAAAATTGAAAATTGTCCTATACAATATTCCTATTAATGTTTTTCAATAGTTTCTTACATAAATTTCTAATAAAACGCATAATGCTCATATATATTAAATTCTACTTACCACAATCATTACAGAAATTTGGCTTTTTAAAAGAAGATGTTGGGGGTTCAAGATCAAAGTCATAAGATACATTTGAAGAAGGCAAAATTCTCTCTTATCACTTTCTACAAACAATATGTGGAAGAAGATATACAAAT